GGCAGGTGCCGTTTCATGCCTCCAGCTCCGCCTGCTGCTGACGCTGCCGCCTTCACACCCCTCCCCCAGATCCCCTCTCTCCCAGAGACCCTCAGGGCCTTTGAACCACGTTTTACCTTAAAGCTGCACACCTCCCACCTTCCCACTTCTTTTTACTTGACCAGCTGAATTCTGTCAGCCCTGCAGAGCAGGCATGGGCAGGAGAAAAGCTTTGAGGGCACGGGGTGGACGGCGTGACATCCCAAAAAGACAGGGTCCCTGGCATTTCCCACAGGATAGGAATATGCCCTGAGGCTCCCTGGCCTCCAGTTCCAGCCTCCATCCGGCTGGGCCTCCCCTCTCCTTTGAGGACGGGCATTGAAGGCAGGAATCGGCACCGTGAGCTTGGCAGCTGCCACCTTCCGCCTTCCACCCGGCCCCGCCCCTCACGCGCCTGACCTGTGTTGCAGACCAGGAGCTGTGTGAGGAGGGCTGGACCAAGTTCCAGGGCCACTGCTACCGCCACTTCCCCGACCGCGAGAGCTGGGTGGATGCCGAGGGCCGCTGTCGGGAGCAGCAGTCTCACCTGAGCAGCATCGTCACGCCGGAGGAGCAGGAGTTCGTCAACAGTGAGTCTGGCGGGGTCTCCAGGGCCTGAGAGGAGAGTGGGCTCACGGGCAAGGGGGTTGCTTGTCCGGAGGGACCCAGTGCGGCTGCAGGGGGAGGGGCCGGGAGGGAGGGAGCTCTACAGCCTGAGCTCCCTGAAAGAACCGGAAAGAGGAGAGGAGTCTGGGACCAAGGGCTCCCACGGCGCCCAGGACAGCCCACTGTCTGTCACAGCCCCAGAGTAACCGGCGGCTGTCACTAGCCCGTGCCAGCTTGGCCGGGGGTTCTGAGGGTGCTGAGACCCCTGTCAGGGCCTCAGAAGGAGGTGGCATTGCTCCTCAGAGCCTGTCCCCTCTGCCTCTGTGAGTCCAAGTTTCTCGGACATCCCCCGGGGGCTCCAGTCCACACCCAACACCCGTGTCCTCTCCACAGACAACGCCCAAAACTACCAGTGGATCGGCCTGAACGACAGGACCATCGAAGGGGACTTCCGTTGGTCAGATGGACACTCCTTGGTGAGTCCTGCCAGGGGCTCTGGGCACAGTTGGGGACCCCAATGAGGGGAGTGCAGATAAAGACCCCCTAGAGAGAGACTCATTCAAACCACAGGCAAACACTCCCTGAGCGAGCAGCTGCTGCACCGGCACTCAGCGCAGGGAGGGGGTCTTGTGCATCTCTCTGCCTCTGGCCGCTGGCCCAGGGCGGGTGAGCAGAGTGAAGGAAGGAGAGGAAAGGAAGGAGTGAGAGCAAGGCATCATGGGAGACGTGCAGAAGCTTTAGAGGGGCTCCTTGGAAACAGAGGGCTCGAGTCTGCTCAAGAACGCAGACAGACAGACAGCACCATAGAAGCCAAAGGGACAATACACAGAGTAAACACCATCTCTCCATGAAGGACCATCACGGAGGCTTCCTGGGAGGGGTGACCGTGGCCAGGGACACGGGTGAGGGATCGGTTACATACACTACGGGAAAGGGGGGCTCTGTCTGTCCCTGGGCCAGACCAGAGGGAGGAGCCTGAGGAGGCCGAGGAGACTTGGCGGCCACGTCTCTGCCACCAGGTGCTCCCCGAGCGAGGCAGCCTGCCCGTCCCCTGCTGGCCTCTGGGGGGCAGGGGGATGACACCAGCTCATTAACAGGGACCGTGACACCTTGTCCTTGTGAGGGGCTGAGGAGGACCACAGCCGGGACAATCCTAACCAGACTCCCAGCAGCCTTTGCACCGCTGCCACAAGAGAAAGGAGATGGGGGCGGGGCTTGAAAGGGAGGGAAGCTGGGGGTCAGGCCAAGCTATGAGGCTGCTGCCCCCACTCACCGCTTCCCCACGCCACCCACAGCAATTTGAGAACTGGCGCCCCAACCAGCCGGACAACTTCTTCGCCAGCGGGGAGGACTGCGTGGTGATGATCTGGCACGAGAAGGGCGAGTGGAACGACGTGCCCTGCAACTACCACCTGCCCTTCACGTGTAAAAAGGGCACAGGTGAGGCGGCCTGGGAGGGGGCGGGGGGCGGAGTCAAGACGTTAGGTTCCTGCTGGGTGAGGGGACAAGGGCCGGTCACTGCCCAGCAGACCGGAGCCATCCTGGGGGGCGTCTCCCAGAGCCAGCTTCCCCGGCAAGGGCAAGTCCACTCCTGGGGACCAGTCCCGTCCCACTGTCCCCGGAGCCAGGATGGTTCCATAAATCAGACGCAGACGGTGTGCCTGGCTCTCGCCCTGTTTCTCTGCCTCCCTCCCTTTCTTTTCCTCATCCCCTTAAGACCCTCCTTTCACTCCCTTCCGGCTGCTCTAAGTCAGCCAGCAGCCCAGATGGCTTCCAGACTCTGTGTGCGGCGTGAAAACGCCCCTCGGTCAGCAGCCGGGGCTCACGGCTGGGTGTCTGGGCTCCAGGCTGTCTCATCACAGCCAGAGGAGGCCCTGCTGGCTCGTCCTCACAGGCAGGGTCATCACAAGAGACCCCCCCCTGAGGTCCCTCTCTGAAGGTTGTTCACCCCTCAGTGGCCTGCGGAGACCCCCCCGTGGTGGAGCACGCCAGGACATTCGGGCATAAGAAGGACCGCTATGAGATCAACTCACTGGTGCGGTACCAGTGCACAGAGGGCTTTGTCCAGCGCCACGTGCCCACCGTCCGGTGCCTGCCCAGCGGGCACTGGGAGGAGCCTCGGATCACCTGCACGGACCGTGAGCATCGCCCCTCCCCGCCTACCCACCTGTCCCCCCAGAGCACCTGGGGGTCCTAAACCCACACCGGCAGCACCACCTGCAGACAAGGCCACCTGTCACTGCCCCCCTCACCCATCCCCAGGAAGGAGAAAGCAGGCAGCCCACTTTCCTTTTCAACAACCGCCCGAAGCCCCTTAGCCCAAGTCGATTCAAGAGCAATCCAAACCAGGAGGCAGAAAAAAAAAACCTCAGTCTGCCTTCACCAGCCCAGGTTTCTGCAGGGAGGGCAGCCTGCGCAGAAGGGGCCAGATGGGGAGAAGCTAGGCCCGGCCGCTCCCTTCCCAGGGCTCACGGGCACCCTTCCCTCTCCCTTCTCCCAGCCGCCTCCTACAAGCGCAGGCTACAGAAGCGGAGCTCCCGGCCGCCCCGGAGGAGCCGCCCCAGCGGGGCCCACTGAGAAGAGCGCCCAGGACGCACCCAGGATGCTGAGCCCAGTGGCCTTTCCAGCCCGACGCCCCACTCGGATGGTGTCCCCTTCCTGCCGCTTTCTGTCATATAAGGGATTCCATTAAAGAAGGAAGAAATTCAGTCCCACATTGTGTATGCACCCACCGACTCACCCACCCGCCACCCCCCCACCCCCGAATTGCCAAAAAAATGCATCTGACTTTCTGCCCAAATGCCAAAGCGGAGCCAACGTATTGTACCCCGAGGACCGAGTCTAGAGACGTTTCTTCATTCTCCCGATGTGCCTTTCCGGGGACCAGTGCAGGGACAGGGGGAGCAGGGAAGGGTTAAGTTAAATAAAGAAGATTATTTTTTGTTTGCTGACTTTATCCAAGAGCAGTGCAATCGTTGGTTCTTTGACCTCCAGGGAGAGCTAGGGAGGAGGGAGGAGGGGCAGGAGCAGCTGGAAGGGGCAGAGGCCCAGGGCGTGAAGAACTGGGGACCAGAGCTGAATGTACGGGAGGAGGAGGGCAGCCCCCATGTGGGGAGGCGCTAGCCAGAGAGAGGCCGCTCCTGCAGCCCAGGGTGGGGGGGGCGCGGGCAGGCAGGAGACCACCACTGAGGACTCTTCCACCCTCATGGGGGGTCGGGCTCCCTCCAAGGGCCCCTCTTCCAGGTCCTCTCACCCGGGCTGCCACCCTGTCATCGCTCTCTCAGCAGGGCTGGGTGGGGGGACACTCCCTTCCCTGTGGGAGGGCCCCCCTGCCCCTCCCCTCCCCCAGCCCCCGGGACCGTGCAGGCACCAGGGTTCCGTGCACCTATTTATATTTTTGAAAATTGAAGATGATGATGATTATAATAATAAAGACATTGGAAGAGATCTATTTCTTTTCCCTTCTTTTTTTTCCTTAATTTTTATTTTTTATTTTATTGAAGGAGAGGGTAACCGTGGGCCAGGGTCAACGAAAGGGGCCCTTAGGAATGGTGGCCATGGAGACCGGTTTTGATCAAATAACCCCAAGCTGGTGTGAATCCCAGCCATTCAGAGAGCCCGGGGCAGCCACCCCTGGTAGGGTTTAATTTTACAAGGGTACAGGTGGATTCAATGGAGTGTGTGTACGTGTGTGACAGTCACCAGGTCACTGTGTGTCAGTCACACTTTGCCCCCGTGGAGGTGAGCCCCACAGAGTGGGGCAGAGGAGGGCTGGGGTGGAGGAGGGCTCACAGCACCAGGTAGTGTCCAGTCAAACCCACAGATCAAACTGGGAAAACAGAACAAAACACAGACTCTTTGAACTGAGAGCAAGGGGGAGGTTGAAAGGGGCATCTGCCCCACTTCCCTGGGATCTCACAGAAGCCTGCAGCCTCCACCTCCTCAGACAGGCAGGGGACTGCAAAGCCCCTGCATGTCCTCTCTCCCCACCCCCAGGGGGCTGAGGCCAAGTGAGAGCTGCAGCTACCATGCCCTGGCCCCGTGTCACTGCCCCCTCTGGACACCAGCCTCCCTGGGGCAGGGAGAGGGGCTGGACTAGTGATGGCTGAGTCATCACAAGCCTGCGAAGCTCACATGTCCCACAGGACAAGGGTAGGATGATCCCTGGTTGGGGGGCCTTGGGGTGTCCCCCTGAGCAAAGAGAGGACTTGGGATCTGTTGGACTTACAAAAATAGTAATTTTTTTGTGTAAAGTTGAAGTTGATTTGGAAAATAAAATAAAGTTTAAGTTGAGAAGTATAAAAACAATCAGAAAATTGCCCCTACCAATAGGGAAAATGGGCCACTTGATAAATACAGCCCGTGAGGCATGGGCCCTAACGAGCACAGTGACAGTAGACACCATACTTGCAGCTCTGAGGGTCTGGGAAGCCCAAGCTGCAGATGCCAGACTCCAGCGGCCCGCAGTGGGGCGTGGGGGGACCACGGGGTAGCAGACACTGCCGTGGGCCAGCCAGCCCGCATCGCAGCGGTCCAGGCCACGGAACTTCCAGGCGGCGAAGAGCTGGCCCACCTTGGCGATCCGGGTGCCGTCCTGCCAGCAGGCTTCCTGCACCTCCAGAAAGGCCAGCCTCTCTGGATGCTCCAGGTAGTGAGTGCACCTGCCCTGAGGGAGAGCGGGGTGTGAGGGCTAAGGACGGCCGGAGAGGACCGCCGGGCCTGCAGCCAGGTCAGCCCATCCAGACGTCACCAAGCAGACCCCGAAGATCTGTCTGCACCCAGGGAGCCACCGCACAGTGGATATCGGCTCAGACATTTTGGGAGGCACCTTCCCAGGCCTCACCCTCTCTGAGAGCTTCCTCCCACCTGCCACAGGGACCGGGTCCCTCCTGTCATATCTGAACTCCCCCAACCCTTCCATCATGGCACCCTAGGTGGGCGCCCCATGGAGCCTGGGCCAATCAGCGTCTCTGTCTGGCCCAGTTGTTGCCTGAGAACCTAGACGGGCCCAGGAGTTTTGGGGAATGGCTCTGCATCACTTTCTGTTTTCACTTGACTATCTGCCCATGAAATGAGCCACTTTTGAGGACAGACTAAGTTTTATTTGTCTGTGATGCCCAGGGCCCACCCCGCCCAGGCCCCAGCCGGACACAGGCCCTCAGGCAGTGCTCGCTGAATGAGTAAACGGATGATTGGCGTGAACAGCAGCATCCAAGCCGCCAAATGTAGCCACACGCGCTTCTACGTCTGCAGCGCTGCAGGCAGAGGGGCCCCGCAGCTCCCCACACCTACCCACAGGCTGTGCTCGGCCACTCCACTCACGCTTGAGGACGGCAGCGAAGCAGAACACAACGTAGAGGTGCAGACGGTGGTGGCGCCGCCCGCCCGTAGCTGCGCACGCTGGGAGCCAGACCCGGGCAGCCTCAGGGGCGCCGGACCAGCGTGATGGGGTACTGCACGGGCATCCTGAAGCCAGCCCGCGTTGCATCAGTCCAGTCCCTCCTCCCAGGCCTGGAACGGCTGCTCCAAGGAGGCCACTGCGGCGCCCTGGGCCTCGAAGGCCCGCTGGGCCTCGTGGAAGCTGAGCTGGTAGCGCCCCTGGCGGGGCTGGTAGGGAAATACCTCCCTGTGGCTCAGGGAGGAAATACCACACCTGGGGAGGGAGGAAAGGGGACTTGGTGAGGGGGCCGAGCCCCGCTGGCTAGAGACCCCCACCACAAAATGCATTATATTCTTTGCCGATCTGATGAAAAATAGGTATAATTTTGACTGACTTACAAAAAAATAATAGTATTACCTACCGTTTTTGCTCCCAAGTGACTTTTCTTATGTATTTTTTAAAAGTTTATTATATGGACTTCCGCCAAGATGGAGGTATAGGTGGATGTGCCGTGCCTTCTCACACAACCAAGTTTAGAGACAACTAAATATTAGCATCAGAAAACACAACCAGAACATGGAAAATTGAACTTTTCGGAAGTCCGTTAACAACAAATTCTTCAGCCCGACCGGTAAGGGGCGAAACCGGCGTCTCGTGAGGGGTTGCACAGGAGGTCTGGGTCAGACCCAGGCGCGGAATCCAGACGCGCGAATCCAGACGCACGGGTTCCAAATACAAGATTGGACCTAGTGAGCGACCGAGCAACCCACCGGGTGAGCGACTGCTGAGGAGACAGTGGGGAGGCGGTGCTGCGTGTTGACTGTGGTTGCCTATTTGTGCGAGAGCGGACAGGCGAAGGAGTGGGCGGTTGGACCGGGGCCCAGCGGTCCCCGCGGCAAGCGGCAGTAGAGGGCGCCGCCATTTCCCCGCTCTGACCACGCCCCCACATACAGCGTCACAACCCAGCGACCTGGGAGTCCAAGGCGCCGCTTCTCACATTTAAAGGGCCAGAACAGACCAAAAATGTCACAGGAAGACCTCAAAGCCCCAGAGATAAATCTAAGCGACGAAGAAATAGCAAAACTCTCAGACGCACAGTTTAAAACACTGGTCATCAGGATCCTAACAGATCTGGTTGATTATAGCCACAAATTAGAGAAACATATGAAGGCTAAACTAAGGGAAATGAATGGAATTCCACAGGAAACCCATAGAGATGAAAAGGAAACTGGGACTCAAATCAATGGAGTGGACCAGAAGAAAGCAAATAATGGCCAAACAGAAAAGAGTCAAGGAGCAAGAATTCAAAGAAATGAGGAGAGTGTTAGGAACCTCCAGGACATCTTTAAACGCTCCAACATCTGAATTATAGGGGTACCAGAAGGGGGAAAGACACAACCACCAGTGGAAAAATTATTTGAACAAATAATAAAAGAAAATTTCCCCAATCTGGCAAAGGAAATAGACTTCCAAGAAATCCCAGAAGCTCAGAGAGTATCAAAAAAGTTGGACTCAAGAAGAAACACACCAAGGCATATCATAATTACATTAGCCAAAATTAAAATGAAGGAGAGAATCCTGGAAGCAGCAAGAGCTAAGGGGACAATCACCTACAAAGGAGTCCCCATCAGACTGTCAGCAGATTTCTCAAAAGAGACCTTACAGGCAAGAAGGGGCTGGAAAGAAATATTCCAAGTCATGAAATCTAAAGACCTACAACCAAGATTGCTCTATCCAGCAAAACTTTCATTTAGAATGGAAGGACAGATAAGGTGCTTCTCAGATAACATCAAATTCAAGGAGTTCATCATCACCAAGCCCTTATTATATGAAATGTTAAAGGGACTTATCTAAGAAAAAGAAGTTAAAGAAACATGAACAGTGAAAGAACAACAAGCTCACAGTTATTAACAACCACACCTAAAACGAAAGCAAACTAAAAGGACAGCTAGATCAGGAGTGGAAACATAGAAATGAAGATCTCAAGGAGGGTTAGCAACAGGGGAGTGGGAGGAGGAGATGGGGGGAGAAGGTACAGAAAATAAGTAGCATAGACAGTAGATAGAAAATAGATGGGGGGGCAAGAATAGCATGGGAAATATAGAACCTAAAGGACTTGAGACACATGGACATAAACTAAAGGGGGGTAATGGTGGGGATGGGGGGGCAGGGTGGAGGGGAATGAAGGGGGGAATAGAACAACTGTAACAGCATAATCAATTTAAAAAAATAAAAAAAAAGTTTATTATATCTTTTCTATTACCACAAAGTGACTTTTTAAAAAAAAATCAGGGGCCCATGCTTGTATACAAGGATTTCTGATGCCAAGGATTGGCCAATCAGATGCAACTTCGTTATGCAACGTGACCAATAAGATGCAACTATTATATGACCTGCAGGTTTATGGTTAAAGACAGGGCATTCACACCAGAGAGCTACTGTTGTGTTGGCTGTTGTCATTTTTTTAAAATTTGGGAATCTAAGGAAAAGAGGTCAGCTCCCCTGGCTAAATTGTCAGCTACTGCATGTTTGAAAATTTCTTGCGGCACACCAGTTGAAAATCGCTGTGTGAAAGTAATGAATTAATCAGCCAACTAATATCCCTAACTACAGAATGTGAATAAAACCTCATTCACCAGCCACTGCCAGAATACCAGCACTAGGGACTCAATGTGCTCCCCAAATTCCTATGTTCAAGTCCTGATCCCCAAGGCAATCGCTGGGGGCTTTGGGGGGTGCTTAGGTCATGAAGGTGGAGCCCTTGCACCGAGATTCACGTTCTTATCAAAGACCTCAGAGAGCTCCCAGCCCCCTCTACCACGTGAAGACACAGCCAGAAGTCTGTGACCTGGAAGGCCTCACCCAACCGTGCTAGACCCTGATCTCTGACCTCCAGGCCACAGAGCTGTGAGAAATAGGGCTGCAGGACCATCAAAAAGGAGGGCCCAGACTCAGCAGCATGCCCCAGTCCCCACCACTCCCTATCACCTCACACCAGGCTGCCTTCTCCATCCACATGGCCTACCAACCCTGCTCTGTCTCTAATCAGCTGTACGGCCAGCTCCCATTTGCCTCTCAGAATGGGGTCAAATGCCTGCTCTGCCGTTTATGAGCTAGGTGTCCTCTGGTAAGTTACCTGACCTCTCTGTGTCTCAGTTTCCTCATCTGTAAAATGGGGTTGATGATAAAAGTAGCTTCCTCACAGGGCTGTTTTGAAGAGTAAACGTTTATCTGCCCAAAGCACAAAGGTCTGACTGTTTTCTCAGGGCCCCTCCCCTCGGCCCCTAGGTCCCAGCATCAGTCAGCATCACGCAGCCCCACTCGGGGTCTCACCCCGCAGCTCCAGCTCCACCAGGCCCCTCTCGTCCTCCAGCCCGTCGATGACCTCAGAGCAGTAGCGCTCATTGTCCTCCAGCTGCAGGTCCCCCAGATCTCCAGCGATGCTTGGTGCTCCTCAATCAGCCTCAGGTGCACGTGGCCACGGGAGTCGCTGAAGGAGTGGCCCCCAGCACGTCCTGCTCCAGGGCCCCGTTCTCTGACAGATTCCGCCATTTGATGCACCTGGGCCGCGGGGAGACCAGGGCCGCCTCGTAGTGGTACCAGCGGGGCGGGGTCACGTTGGCCCCTGGGTGGAAAAACAGGGTGTCCTTGGGGGTCTCCACCACCAGCTTCACTCTGCTGAAGAGGCCTGGGGGGAGGTGGGTGCAGATGGAGATGCTCAGATGAGCAGCTGCTCATCTGTGCCCCTGCAAGGGCCACCCCACCCTCGCCACAGGTGGCAAGAACGGCCACAGTGCCACACCCCTCCCCGTATCCCCACGCTTTGCACCGTGACTTTGGAGACACACGCATGATGCAGCCCAAATCGCCACCCCGTGAAATCAGAACCAAGTACATGCCTGTCGCCTCAGGCACCGAGTTTATGGTAATTCAGTAATTTCCTTCAACCTCATTCAAGTGGTGCTTACACAACAAAATAAATTCCGGAGAAAAAGCGAGTGAGAGCTAAAGTATGGCTCCCCAGAATATCCGAGTCCTAATCCCTGAATGGTGCCTGAGATGGCAAAATGAACTTTGCAGATGTGATTAAATTCAGGATCTTGGGAAAAGTAGTGTGTTGAGATGGGATTTTCCAGATGGGTCCTAACTGCAATTACAAGTACCTTTAAAAAAATGATTTTTTAGAGAGACAGAGAGAGAAACATCAATTTGCTGTTTAACTTACTGATGCATTCATTAGTTGATTCTTGTGTGTTCTCTGACTGGGGATCAAACCTGCAACCTTGGCATATTGGAACAATGCTCTAACCAACTGAGCTGCCCAGCCAGAGTACACAAGCGACTTTTTACAGGGAGGCAGAGGGAGATGTGAGTACAGAGACTGGAGTGAGGCAGCCACCAGCCAAGGATGCTGGCTGTGGAAGAGGCAAGGGTGGATTTTCCGCAAGAGCCTCCAAGGGATGCACACGTCACAAGCAGGCTGGGCGAGGTGGCGTTCGCCTTCTCAGCCCTTCCACACACAATTCTCCGTGCGGCTTCTTAACATCTGTGTGCCCAGGGCACCTGGCTCAACCATCTGAGTCTTGGTTTGCTCATCGATGAGGTAGAACAATGCACAGCATCTGCTTCTGGGGCTGTGAGGACAGCCAGCTTCCATCTAGCCCGGCCGCTGCCTGTGCTACACTGGTAAACATTTTTATTCTCACCCTTGCCTGTGTCACAGTTTGTGTGAAGCTTATAGGACACCGTGTGTGTAAGGAACCCTGAAGCATGCCTGGCATATAGTAGTTGCACAAAAACTGCTAACTAAAAAAATCACCTGCCCAGACCTGGCTGGTGTGGCCCAGTGGATTGAGCTCGGGCCTGCAAACAAAAGGGTCACCAGTTCAATTCCCAGTCAGGGCATATGCCTGGGTTGTGCATCAGGTCCCCAGTAGGGGGCGCTGGTATTTTTCTCCTTCTCTCCCTCCCTTCCCCTCTCTCTAAAAAAAAATAAATAAAATCTTTAAAAAATGTTTTTAAAAATCACCTGCCCAAAGCTATGTAGCTAGGAAGAGGCAAAAATAAGATTCAAACTCACCTCTGTCTAACCTCAAAGCCCCTTGGCACTGGGCAGAGATGAGGGGAGGTCACCTTTTTAAGCGGCATCTTGACAAATTGGCAAGATTTGGGGGAAGCAGTAAAAGCAGAAGTGATGGCCCTTAAGTGCACTGGGGTCCATCTCAGGGGCCAGCCAGCACAGAGTCACTGAACCACCTCTTCCGCTCGCCTTAGAAGTGAGGCAGGTCTGCCGCAGGGGCCCAGATGGGGAGAAGGCAGCTGGCTCCAAGCCTCATCCGGGCCTGGAACCTACATTTCACCGTGGGAGCCAGGGCAGGTCTTGCTCACCCTTCAGAGCAAAGAGCCAGACCCAGAAGACCACCCACCTTCACCACAGCCCGGGTTCGGGCCGTGGGGATGGTTGGAGTAGTAGAAGCCGTTGTAGAAGGGCAGGCTGGAGAGGCAGGGGAGCAAGAGCAGCCGGCCCAGGAGCAGCAGGCCCATGGTGTTGCACACAGCAGCAGGGCCAGTGCATCCTGGTCAAGGCTGTAGCCAAGCAAGCAGGAAAGAAGAGAAAAACAAGCCAATTAGTCCTGGCTTGTGTGGCTCAGTGGATTGAGCACCAGCCTGTAAACCAAAAGATTGCTGGTTTGATTCCCAGTCAGGGCACATACCTGGGTTGCGGGCCAGGTCCCCAATGACAGGCACACGAGAAACAACCACACACTGATGTCTCTCTCCCTCTCTTTCTCCCTCCCTCCCATCTAAAAATGATAAATAAAATCTTTTTAAAAAATCTGACCCTAGGATATAAAGCCATCTTCTTCTTAACACAGGGGAAGTCTTCACAACTTCATCTGACTCCTAGTTCTTTTTCATAATCCTCGCCTGAGGGTATGTTTATTGATTTTAGAGAAAGGAAAGGAGGGGGGGAGAGAGAGAGACAAACATTGATGTGAGAGAGAAACATTGATCAGTTGCCTCCCATATGCCTTGACTGGGAATCGAACCTGTGTATGTTACTTCTCTCTGACCAACTGAGCCACCTGGCCAGGGCCTGACTCCTACTTTTACCAGAAAACCTTATGTTGCTGAGTTCTGTGAAGCAGCTAAACGAGCCATGCAGGCGTCCTGCCCTCAGCAGACACATGGTGTCCATGAGCCAGAATGGCTAGAGTCTGGGTATTGAGTTGGGAGAATTTGGAAGGAGGAGACGCGGTACTGTCCGATCTATTTCATTCCTGAGTTCTGGGTGGTGGCTACCAAGAGTCTGCATAGGGAGCGACGTCTGTTGCCACAGAAAAGAAAGGCATCTCCAGGACTCCCACGTCACCGTTGACCTTAAGGAATTCATACATCGCTAAGGCTTGATGATCTGAAATTGCGAGGGGTTTTGTCGCAGTCACCCCATTACATGTGGTGCTGGGAAAAGTGGCCACCGGACTGGTGTCATTCCATGTTATCCTGACACTGGTGCCTTTTCATTCTCACCAACACCGAGTGAGGTGATTCATGGCTCAGAAACATGCGTCCTCCAGCGGTTCCCTCAGTCAAGGAGAATTTTATTCTCCCTGCTCAGCCCACAGGTGAACAGAGGCACAGAGATGTGAAGCCACTGTGCCAAGGCCACACAGCCAGGAGGCAAGAGAGGCAGGACTCTGCTGGGCATTTTGCAGCCAACCCCCCACAGAGATCTGCCACATTTACAGACTGCTTCCTGCTTATCGATGCACCTTCATGGACGTCACTGCCCGGGAACCTCACAACATGACAATTATTATTCCCACTGTACAGGCAAGAAAACTGAGGTTCAGAAATACCAGGTTGCTTGGCCACCTGGATTCGGTTTTGGCTCCACCCACTTACTAAGAGTCTGTGTGTGGGACAAGTCACTGAGCCTCACTTTCCTCATCTGACAAATGGGAGTCATGACAATAATGACCAGGAAATAGGCATGTGAAGGTTAAGGGAGGGTGGGTTTGCAGGGCACTTAGACTACCACCCGGTAGGGCGGGGGCAGCACGAAACAATAATAGTTGTGTTACTATGGGGAACGGGTTACAAAGTGAACTCTCACTTTCTCCTCTCTGGTTGTCTGGGAGAGAAAGCAATTCCCTTAACAGGTGAGGAAATGGAGGCCAATCCTTTACCTTTGGAAGTGAGAGAAACAGTTGGAAGTGAGAGAAAACTGAGGTCTCTTGATGGACCAGCCTTTGCTTTTCCCAGCGCTACTCGCCTGGGGACCCCTCCACACACCCTAATAAGCTGCACCCCAACTTGGAAGACTGAACCCCACCAGGCTTCAAGTTCCCCGGATACCAGCAGAGGGCAGCATTGCCCTTCGGGTGTCCAGCAGGCGGGGGAATTTGACTTCGGAACCCCAGTTTAGACAAGGCTTACGAGCACCTTTGAAACCTGCGGGCCTCCCCGAACGTGGAAACCGGAAAGCGGAGGCCGGAGGTGGCTCGTACCAGCATTCCCAGCCCGCTGGGCCGTGCAGGGCCCAGAGAGGGGCCAGGGCGCCTCTCCATCACCGGCCCCTGCAGCAGAGAACAGGCGCACTCCCGAGGGTCAGCACTGGCCACCGCGGTCCGGGCCGGATCAAAGGCTGGCGACAGAGCTGAGGGAGTCCAACGCCCCTGCTGTTTCCTTCCTGGCTGCTCGCGAGCCCCACATTCCTCCCAGAGTGACCCATCTTTCACCCAGGGCTCTGCCCTGCACCCTTTCAGCCTCTTCGGGTCTCGCTGTTCCCAGGGCAGAAACCCCAGAGGACTGAGACCTGAAACGAAGGGCACCTGTTGCATTTGCGCCGGGAGCGCAAGTCCACCCACCCGCCCGCGGGGTGTCCCAGTGTGGCCCGGACTGAGGGTCGGACAGATGCCCAGGGGCAGAGCCGGATCAGAGCGCGCTTATGCCTGAGGCTGCAGGACCGGGACGGGACAGGACAGGATGGAAGGAGAGAGGCAGCCCCCCCAGGAGGGAGGGGCTGGACCTGAGCGGTGGTCCCGGAGGCCCCAGGACCCGCCCCGGCTGTACCTCCTCGCCAGGCGCACGCGCTTCCGCGCAGTCAGCCCGCGCCAGGCACGGCTCTCACCTCACTCGAGCCGGGACGCCCCCACTGGTTTCTGCAGCCAAGGGCCGCTCAGCCCGCTCAGCCCGTTCAGCCGGCCCCTGCCGCAGGAGGTGTGCGGCCCGCGGGAGCCCCGAAGGCGGGAGGAAGGAACGCATCGTCCCCCCAAGGCTCCTCGATGCCCCAAGGGCTCAGGGGGTTTGGGCTTGGGGACGCGGGCTAGCCGGATTAGAAGAAACAGGTGGATTGGGGTCCTCGAATGGCCAGAAAAGAAGCGGCAGCGGACAAACCCCCGTGCTCCCACCGGGCCTGCCCCTTAAAGGAACAGACGCTCTTTTCCCTATAAGGGTCGGGTCCAATAGGAGGCCGTGCCACAGCCTTAGGCATGCTCCAGGCTCCAGACCGGCTGGGGACCACGCCCACACTGTGGGGCTGCTGGCTGTGCAAAGGGAGTGTCCGGTAGCTGAGGCCGCCACATATTGGGGAAGGAGGTGAGTGGGGGAATGGAGAATTTGAGGGGGGATTCCCATTAGGATGCTCTGGTTTGCCCTAAACAGTGGGACTAAGCGGGGAGTCCCTCTCCAGCCCTCTGCAGGTGAAAGAGGAGCTAGTATAGTGTATACCTGCCTTTACCCTCTTGAGATTGGCCATCATGAAAACGCTGGCCAGACCCTTCGGTGTAAGACACAAAGATGCTCCCCCTCGTGGATAGGTGGAGCTTACTCAGTGGCCCTGGGGTCAGGGGAGGCACAGGCATCTATCTGGGCAGCCACCTCCCAGGACGCCTGTCTGAACAGGGTGTTTTCTTTCCTATCCAGACCAACAGGGGTCCTAGGTGGGGCAGTTTCCTCAGTGGGAAAGCTTAAAGCGAGCCATAGGGTCACTGAGCCCAGAGGACCCTCCTAAACACAGCAACATGGCTCCACACACTTGCGTGCATTCCCAGGTGCGTTGCGCATGCGCAGCCGGGAGCCAATCAGAGCAGAGCCGCCTGGACTGGCGGCTGGCCTGCACCCAGAGAGAAGCCAGGCTTGATGAGCAGAAGGAAGCCCAGGAAGAGATCACCGACCACGGTGTACACGATGGATTGGAAAGGGGGTAAGTAGAAGTACCAACTAGGTCACTCTTGTAAGCATCTCTGACAAGACGACCCAAGCATCTGAGGCCTCCAATGGGCCTGGCTTTGCCTAGGTGCTGTGCCCTCCATCCCAGCGCCATGGAGTGGGACCTATTATTTCTGAGGCCCCGAGGATTTTGGTAGATGGTCAAAGGTCACATGGAGCCAGGCTGTCCAACTTCGGGCCTGGGGCCCTGAATCACTCCACTATATTTAAACCAGGACCGGAGAGGAGACAAGGCTCCCGAGGGGGGCAGGTCAACAGGCTGACAGCCACAGGTGTGGGGCGGAGGGCAGGGCTGGCCTTGGCGACTGCAGATGGGAATTACAAAAGGGAATTCATGGAGATGATTTGTTAGTGCAGGAGGCTGCCAAGGGAGAGGAGCCAAGGACAGGAGGGGTGAGGAGGGAGGGGAGCCCGGTCCAGGGTCCGCATCCAAGGCAGCAAACTGAAAGGTGGCGTAGGCTATTCCAGAGTCCCCGCAGGCCTCTGTGAGTGCTGCCCATCAGCCCACATGGCCAGTCGCCCAAGAGACAAGCCGCAGACCTCTAATGCACGGATAGGGGCACACTGACAGATGGGAGTGAAGCCAATTCCCCTTCGCAGGTGAGACTCCCAGGTTCTCTCCAGGATGTAATCAGAACCATCCCGGGCAGAGCAGTGGGGAAAGGTGCTCCGGCCACTGTGCTGGTCCCCAGGGGAGGCAGAGCAGGGCTGAGGGTAGGGACGCCCCCTGGAGGAAGTCCTGCAGCCAGCAGCCACCCGGAAAGACTGACTCTGAACACAGCCCGTGCAGCCCCACAGGGAGCTCTGAAACCGGAAGGGGTGGGCCCAGGGACCCCTGGGCATCTGCAGACCTCACCTGGGCTTCCTATTCCATCCCTGTCCAGCCAAGGAGCCCTGGCAAGGTTTGTTCGTTGTAAGGAATCGCCTCCAGACAAATTCCCCTGGTGGGGCTCCAACACCACCACACCCTCCATCGCACCCTCTTTGGCAGTGAAGTGGCCAGATCTGCCATCAGGAGGCGCTGGTTGGTGTACATCAGGGCGCAGCTCCCAAAGTTTATCCCCCAAAATCTGCCTGTGTCTCAAGGCCTCGAACGCTAAGGGGTCTCATTTGCCCCTTTTCCAGCTCATCAGTGTCCCCACTATAGAAACCCCTTCCCCAGATCACCAGGCACTGGCCTGTATACCCCCCACCCCATAGCCTCGTCCTGGTGGCCCCGACCTGGGGGAGGGCTGGAAGGGACCCCTGGGGCATTTCTCGCAGTCATGGAGCGAATATGTGGATGGCCCCCCAGAACAAGCGCACTCAGC